AAGTAGTGTTTTTTTTTTCTTTTTCAGTAGGGATTTTATTTGCTCTTTCGTAAACACCAGACCACCACCAAAAATCAACTAGATAGCTAACTGAAGACTTTAATTAGCTACGTTGCAGTTAAATAAGGCTTTTTTTTTGGGGGGGGGGTCTTTTTTTGATACAGGGTTTCACTATGCAGTTCAGGCTGGCCTTGAACTCACTTTGTAGCCCAGGCTGGTCTCGAACTTGAAGTGATCCTCCTGCCTCAGCCTCCCGAGTGCTGGGATTACAGGCATGCACAATCACACCCTGCAAACTAGGCTTTTTTAATTAGCATTATTTACTTGGGATGAATTTATTATTTTAAGGCATAAGCACTTACTCCACTCCTTTGCTTATCCGCCTACTATACCAATAAATTCTATCTCCTTTGAAGAAGCTATTAGAAAATGGAAAGATATCTCTTGTTCTTGGGTAAGAAGAACCAATGTAGTAGGTGGCCCTACTTCCAAAATTATACATATTTAATGCAATCTTGATCAAAATTCCAACAGTATACCTCACAGAATTAGAAAAAAACAATTCTAAAATGTCTGGAACCAGAAAAGACCTAGAATAGCAAAGGCAATTCTGGACAACAAGGGCAAGGCAGGGAGCATCACAATCCCTGACTTGAAATTATACTACAAAGCTATTATACACAAAGCTATTGTGATAAAAACAGCATGGTACTGGCAAACACACACACACATACACACCCCAAGGATCAACAGAACAAATTAGAAGAAGCACATTTGATTAGCCACCTTATCTTTGACAAGAGCCAAACATCTTCACTGGAATAAAGCCTCTTTAATATATGGTACTGGAGGGGCCAGGAATACAGCTCAGCAACACAAGCGCCTATCTAGTAAGCACAGGTCCTGAGTTCAATTCCTAGTACCAAAAAAAAAAAAAAAAGAAAAAAACTTCCACTGTTGGTGGAAGTGTAGACTGGCACAACCACTGTGGAAAGCAGTGTGGAGATACCTCAAAAAAACTAAGATTAGATGTCCCACTGGACGCAGCTATTTCTCTTCTTGGTATCTTCCCAAAAGAATTAAAAGTATCACACTCATGTTTATAGAAGCACAGTTTGTAATAGCTAAATCTTAGAAATAGCCCAAATACCCATCAACCAATGAATGGGTAAAGAAGATGTGAGGTTTTTTTAATACAATGGAGTACTACTCTGCCATAAAGAAGGATAAACTTGGGCCATCTATAGCTAAATGGATGCACTTTGAGACCATATGCTTAAGTGAAATAAACATGTATAAATATCATTTTGTTTCTCTGGTGTGAGAAACAAAGTGTAAATAAGGACCAAAATGTATAATAGATATTGTGAAATAATAAGAAAATGTTCAAATGGGAAGGGGAACTAGGGAGGGGGGAAGGGGAAAGGTAGGGAAAAGAAAAAAAATGAGAAAAGAAAGAAAAATGGAAGCAAAGCTTCTGTAAATAAGACGGGGAAGAGGGATTGAAAGGAGGGTACGGGAATGGAAAAAAAGAACCAAGTTATATCATGTATAGGTACAAATTCTCTATGAAGAAAGTGCTCATTATGTATACCTAAAATGCACCAATGAATTTTTTTTAAAAAGCAAACTGGGGGGCTGGGGATTTAGCTCAGCGGCAAAGCGCCTGCCTGGCAAGTGCAAGGTCGTGAGTTCGGTTCCCGGTACCAGAGAAAAACCAAAAACAAAAAAAAAAAAGAAAAGCAAACTGGGCGTGGTGGCACACACCTGTAATCCCAGCCCTTGGGAGGTTGAGGCAGAAGGACTGACGAGAGTTTGCAGCCAGCCTGGGCTACATAGGGAGCTCAAGACCAGCCTGGACTATAGGGTAAGACCTTATCTCAAAAAAACAAAAAAGATAAAAAATAAGTAAAAAGTATAGCCCATCTCCTAACTTATAATATACTCCAGCTGTGAAATATGCCTGGCTAGTTCTAACAATCAAAACAGTCAAATAAAAAGCATTTTTAGAAATCCATACAGAACTTTTCAATATAAATAGTAATAGTTATAGAAACAAATATTTCCTATAAAAAAATTCAAATATAAGTAATTATCTATAAGAATACTAGACCTCCTGCCTGGAAAGTGTGAGGTTGTGAGTTTCATTCTTGGTACCAAACAAAAAAAAGGTTTGGTGTTTTTTTTGGTCTTTTTGAGACAGGGTCTTGCTATGCAGTTCAGCAGGGCTTTGAGCTCACTTTGTAGCCCAGGCTGGTCTCAAACTCACAAAGATCCTCCTGCCTCAGCCTCCCAAGTGCTGGGATTACAGGTATGCACCACCACAGCCAAAAAAAAAAAAAAAAAAAACTTTACTATATACTAGTACACAAAATAGAACTATTTAAAAAAAATAGAACAAAGGTTTTTTTTGCAACTATTGCAAGTTCCCTGAAAGATTTTCTTTTCTACCAACTACAATACCAAATAAACCTTGAACAGTGACCACTGTTAATGTAAAAAATTAAATAAATAAAAATTAAAAATAAATAAAAATAAAGATTTTCTTTTCTTTTGAACAAAGGCTTTCCTCTTTTTTTTTTTGTCTTTTTGAGACAGGGTCTCTCTATGCAGTTCAGGCTGGCCTTGAACTCACTTTGTAGCCCAGGCTGGTCTTGAACTCCAAATGATCCTCCTGTCTCAGCCTCCCGAGTGCTGGGATTACAGGCGTGGGCCACCACGCCCGGCAAGGCTTTCCTCTTTTCCCTATTGTTGTTATTATATATAATGTACATGTAATATGTCTGTCTTGAATATAAAAATATGCTCCTAAGCACTCAAAGACAACTCAGGAAAATGTTTTAAAATTTAGACAAACTACCAGGTATGACAACACAAGTAATCCCAGCCCTAGGGAGGCTGAGTCAGGAGGATCGCCACAGTTGGAGGGCAGCCTGGGCACATAGTGAGTTGAAGTCCAGCCAGGACAATTTAGCCTGACTCTTTCTCAAAATAAAATTGAAAAGTTAAAAAAAAAAAAAAAAAAAAAAAAAAGCAGTGTGGTTGTGTTATTTGAACTTAATATGAAACACGAAGGCCATGAAGAACTTTTAACAGGGGCTGGGGATTTAGCTCAGTGGCACCAGTGCCTGTCTGGCAAGCATGAGTCCTGAGTTTGATTCCCGGTACTCCCTCCCGCAAAAATAAAATAAAGTAACTTTGAACAGACATGGCTAGAGATGACTGTATGTAAATTCTAAACCAGTTCTCAAGTTTATAGACATCTAGGATGCCCTAAAATATTTCATGAAAATCTTTAAAGACAGTGTGTGACCAAGCTGAGAACTGGAGGGCTTTACATTTCTTGTTCATGCAAAAACCCCACCCCAACCTCTACTGTGGATTGAATCCGGGGCCTTCACACTAGGCTACATCCCCAGCCTTATTTTGAGACAGGGTCTCACTAAATCACAAAATTGCTCAGCCTAGACTCAAACTTACTATCATGGGGCCTCAGCATCCCAGAGTGCTGAGTTACAGGTGTGCACCACATGCGCAGTTTATTTCATTTTGAATTAGCATGAATATAACCTTTATTCTACGGATTACTAGAAAGAAGGAAAGAGACTGAAACAGAAAAAGGGAAAGAAAGAGAAAGGCAGACAGACAGACAGGACAATCAAAATAAACATCTGTAAACACTTACCTAAATAAGGGGTAAGGGCATATAGCTCAGTGGTAAAAGTCTAGCCTAGCAAGCACCAGGCCTTGGGTTCACTCTTCAGTACCGCAAAATAAATAAACTTTACTTACCAAACCCTAAAGAAATTATGCTAGTACATATCTGTCTTCTACTATTTTTCCTAATTTATGAACATTACATGAGATCCTAAACTGTAGGTAATGAAACGATTCCGGACTAGAGTAAAGCTTCATCATTAGAAGATCCTTTGCAATCAAACGTGTCAAAAGTAAATATTACAAGGGGCTGGGGATTTAGCTCAGTGGCAAAAGCGCCTGCCTGGCAAGCGCAAGGTCGTGAGTTCGGTTCCCGGTACCGGAAAAAAAAAAAAAAAAAAAAAAAAAAAAGAAAGTGTATTACAGGTATTAGAGGTGCAACACGAATTTCTAGAGTACAGGCTATTTTCTGTGCGAACTGAAAAAAGAAAAAAATATTTAAATTCCCAATACGTATTTTGCAACGCCGAACGCCTGACAGATTAAACCCTAGGTTGTGCTTTTTAAAATCTGCTTCTCCACCTTAAGCCAAAACGCGTATTAAGTTTTACTCCGCTAGTTTTTCGTTCACCTTTTACAAAACAACCATTTCGTATTCAAATTTCAGTAGAACTTTTTAAAGATTCTTCCAACACCGTTCTTGACCCTTTTGCCTTTAAATTTCGCAACTCAAATTTCGGGAAATTTCTGACGTACACACAGTAAAGCCAGGTAAAATGACAGGCGAAATCGTATCCATGAATTTACGGTGACTCCTTATGTGGTTTTTATTTAACACTTTTACCACGTTTTACGTCTTCAGGAAAGCAAAAAAAAATGTACTGCACCAAATTACTCAGAGAATTTACTAAGCCAAGCTAAGGCAACTCTCTTGAACCTCCCTTTATGGTGACAAGCGTGGATGGAAAAACAACTTTCCTAATACTTGTCAGTGCTTCAAGGTCGTTAAGATAAAAATAAAATTTGCAACTCGAAGGACGCTTCTCAGCCCTGCAGCACTAGGCACAGAGCATCCGCATTCCCGCTCCACCCGGCCCGTTAACGAGGCCAGAGCTCGGCCGAGCCGCGAGGGCTCGGCGCAGGGAGGGGTTCGCGGCCCGACGTGGCCCCGGCACCCCCGGCCGGGCGCCGCCCCCAGCTGAAGCCCCTGGCCCCGAGAGACACCGGCGGCGGCGCAGTCCCACCCCGGGACCGAGAAGGGGCGGGTGGTCAGCGCGGAGCCGAAGCGGGGAGGGAGGCAGGGGTGGCCACGCAGCGGGTCCGGGGTAAAGTGGACGCCTCACCTTCTCCTCTCGAGGCAGCCGCTACCGCTCGCTGAGGGGACAACATGGAGCCTCCGCCTTCAGCAGAAGCAGCAGGGGCGCGGAGGAGAGAGGCGGGCTAGGGCGGGGACGAGTAGGGGCCGGAGGCGGGAAACGGGCGGGGCCCCGGCGCGCAGATTAACTGGTGAAAGGAGGGGCGTGCGGAGGCGCGAGGAGGCCAGCCGAGGGCGCCGAGGCAAGACGCTGCAGGCGGCCCGGGGCGTGGCAGGCGCCCTGACGGGTCGGGCGGGAAAGCGCACGCGGCTCAATCCCGCCACCTCCCGGCGCGTGTGCGCGTGCGTGGGAGCGCGCCCCCGGCTACCAGGGTGAAGTGTGTGGCCGGGTGGGAATTGTAGTCCAGCGCTCTCTCAGCCCGGCTAGCGGCCCCCATTCTGCGGACTCATCCGGGGCTGAGCGGAAGCGGAGAGAGCGGAGCGGGCCCTCGACCACAGAACTACAGTTCCCAGCGGGCGTCGTTGGGAGGACGGGCGGGGCTGGGGACGAGGCCCGACCGCCCACGATTCCCGCCGCCGCCGCTTCACGTGGGAATCGGGAGGGGCCGGGCCGGGCCGGGCGGGGCGGTGGCCGTTCATTCCCCAGTTCCATTCCACCTGGGGCGCTTGAGACGGTTTCGGTGTTAAAAGCGCAGGAACCACGGGGGACAGCAGAGAGGCATCCTCAGTCCCGGGTGACGTAAATCCCACTGGGTCTTTAACGATTTTGACTTCACAAGGAGAGACTGACATGCCTTTATTACCACTGTCGTCCTCGTTTCACACACACGCGCGCGCGCGCGCTCACGTCCATTCCTGTTCCAGGCCAAGACTGATACGCACTGTTTGTGTGTGTGTGTGTGTGTGTGTGTGTGGTTTCTTTGAGATAGGGTTTCCTGTGTAGTTCAGTCTGGCGTTGAAGTTACTGGATAGCCCAGACTGGCCTCGAACTCACGACGATCCTCCTGCCTCAGCTTCGCAATTGCTGCGATTCCAGACGTGTGCCACCGTGCCCAGTACCACCGCCCTTCTTGATAGATGAATTTAAGAACTTCCAGCAAGACTGCAGCCATCGTCTTTGTCCAGCCTAAACCATGGCCAGTCTTTCGTAAGTGACAAGTTTACAGAACCTTCTTTCAAGCTGTTTGTTTAATCATACTTAAAACTGTGTAGTGAATCAGTATGAAATTAGGTTCTCCGAAAATACTTGCATACACACGTCACATCTAAGAAGGTATCATTTGCCCCAAACAAGGAATAAAATTTTTTGGAGTAGTTAGGGTGGGAGTGGTAGTTGAGCATAAGTACCTGGCGGAGTTTATAGGAGGCTAATGCGTCCCTTCCCCACCACCACCACCGCCATTTGGCATAACCACTGCTTTAATCATACAACAAATGACTCCCCCTTTTTCCTTCAGCCTTTGTCTTAAGTACAACCTGCTCAGAACCTCTTCCCAGCTACTGCTAGGCCAGTGGTGGCAAACCTGTGGCACAAGTGCTGCAGTGGGCTGTTTATATCATCGAAAGTTCTAAAAGTTTCGCCAATACTGCAGTCCTTGCCAAGCGCTTGAGCTATTTTTTATTTTCCTAGACCAAAGGTGAAAAGATAGATACCTAAAGAGATCCTGTTTTGACTTCTTTTCCGCTAACATTCCTGATTCTCCCCGAACTCGACTGTTTGCATGCCATCTTGAAGGCCTTGGATTTAAATCTAGATTAGATCTAAGCCAACTGGGCCAGGGGAAATTAGAAGTAGACATGAGGGAAAGAGATTACACAAATTTCATACCGGGTATGTGAAAGGCAGGATCTGCAGGAGGTGATTATAGCATACGTGGCATTATGTGGCTGTCTTAGTTATTTTTCTCTCTTTGCTGAGACAAAATACCTGACACCCAAATTAAGGTTTATTTAGCTCAAAGTTTGTGGAGGTTTCAGTCTGTACTCAGCTGGCTCCAAGGCAGAGTGGCACAAGGCAGAGGGCTACAGTTCATGGTGACAGAAGACAGCAAAGGCAACAAGAGCAAAATGGAGGAGTGGCAGAGAGGGAAGAGCAAGCCTCTTTCCCTCCCTTATACTGTATGTTAACTACCTGCCCAGGATGGGTGTAGCACTCACACCCATAATCCCAGCATTGGATCATGGATCAATCATAAACTCTAGAAACGTGCACCCATGACTGCATGAGGCTTTGTGGGACATCCAGACACAAACCATAACAATTGTCACCAGCTCTTGGCCTTCAATTGGACTCCAGAGGGATTGTTATAAGGGCTCTGGGTCTTCAGTGGGACTCATACAGGACATTATCATGGGATCCAGACCCTCAGCTGGATTTCTTGGTCTTTAGTGTGTGGACAGATTTCCTGTACTCTTTGTATATGACTCTCTGGGTGACTATTATAAAATAATCTTATAAATTATATGTCCTGTATTGTTCCCTTGTAAACCCCAACTATAACACTTAGCATATGTAAAGCACAAGTGTAAATTGCTTTCCTGATAGCTGTTTTCCCCTGTTAAAGGGAAACAGTTGTTGCAAGCTGCCTCAACACAACCTTTTGGAGGGAGAGGCAGTCTAATCAAGAAGTTTTCAAGTTAAACTGGCAAGTTGGAGAAAAACTGGGGCTGCTAACTTAATAGCAGAGAGAGAAAAGTCCAAACCTGTAGCTCAACCCTTAATGAAGGATTTAAGAAAGGGCTCTAACAGCATCACCTCTGGTCACTGTGAGACAGAGGATACCAGATCACTGAAAGAGTGCAGGTGGGATGATAGCTGAGGAGATTTTTCTGCTGGATACCCCGCTGGGCTGTTGGGACTCAGCTTCCACTGAGGAACCTTTGGGGATGTGCCAGAGAGTTGCCCTGGGCATCAGCTCTGAGTTCACACAACTGAGTCCATCACAACTCAGTTCATCACCACTGGTCCATACAACTAGAGCTCTGTCTTCAGAACAGAATCTAGCTAACTAGCTGGCAGAGTAAGCACTGTCTGTTGAAGTTCTATAAGGGACATGTAAAAGCCTGAGCTGTCTTTATTTAAGATGCTTCCCTGTTTTCAGTTTGATTCCCCATACCAAAAAAAAAAAAAAAAAAAAAAAAAAAAAAAAAACTTTCTACATTTGGAATTTACATTCTTGTGGGAAGGGATAAAACAAAAAGTAGAACATAAATCAAATTGAGAAACTAGTACAGAGAAGGGGAATGGAGAGTGTGTGCAATTTAAAATTTTTGCAGTGTGTTGCATTTGTGATAAGTCTTGGCCTTTGGCCATTCCTTTCTTTTTTTTTTTTTTTGGTTTTTGAGACAGGGTCTCCACACCTAGTTCAGGCTGGCCTTGAACTCACTATGTATCCAAGGCTGGCCTCAAATTCACAGTGATCCTCCTGCCTCAGCCTCCCGAGTGCTGGGATTATAAGCATGCATCACCATGCCCAGTTTGGCCCTTCCTTTCTGAGTTTGCCACTGTTATGGTTTATGTCTGTACATCCCCCCAAATCCTCATGCAGTCATGGGGCAGGCTTCTAGATATTTGATTGATCCATAGTCCAATGCTGGGATTATGGGTGTGAGTGCTATACCCACCCTGGAGTGGATAGTTTGCATACGTAAGGGAGAGAAAGAGGCTGCTTGCAGCCACTCCTCCCTTTTGTTCTTGCTGCCTTTGCTGTTCTCAGCCACCATGAACTGTAGCCCTCTGCTTCGTGCCACTCAGCCTTGGAGCCAGTTGAGTACAGACTGAAACCTGACTTGCCAGGCAGACGCTTGTGCCGCTGAGGTATATCCCTGGGCCCTTTCTGTCTGCTTTGAACAAAACAGCTATAACCCAATACCTCAGACAGTGCCAACAGGGACTACTTTCTGATTGCTTTAATATTTGAGGGGGGCGCTGGGGATTTAGCTCAGTGGCACAGCACCTGCCTGGCAAGCACAAGGTCATGAGTTCAATTCCTTGTACCAGAAGGAAAAAAAAAACAAAAACAAAAAAAAACAAATATTCAAGGGGCAGTTTGTTTTCGTTTTTGTAGACAGGGTCTTGCTACATAACCCAAGCTGGCCTTGCACTTGTTCTGGGAGCCTCTGGAGTGCTGGGATTACCTTGCCATCATGCCTGGCTTGACTTGTTTAATATTAAATATGAAATACCAAACTTTTACTATGGAACAGGATATACTGTTCTATTTTAAAGGCTTCCAATAAAGCTGCACTAAAATCTCTTCTGTCAGGAAGTAAATAGCAAATGCTGGCATTATATCTATCTCAGTATTACATCATCAAGGTCAGTGTCAGCATATCATCAGCCTTCCTTATACTTTGAAGAAGTTTCTGGCATTTGAACCAACAAAGTACAGATGGATTTTAGGATTAGTCACAGCCTAGGAAGCTACCCTTGTAAATAAAGAACATGTTTTGTTATTGTTTCCTTCTCAGATATCCAGGATTATCAAAACAGTGGACACACAAAGTGCTGAATATTGATACTAATTACAATCTGTTTTCAGCCACCTCTGAATTGAGGTTGAGCTTTCCTTGAGATAGCTGACATGTATACATATTTGAGTATTAAAGCCATTGGATGTAGGATCAGATTCACCTGGCTTTGAATTTTGACTTATATTCTTTCTGGCTGTGCAGTCTTGGGTGAATTATTTAACCTGTGTGACTGTTTCATCATCTACAAACTAATTCCATTACTTACCTAAAATTGTGGGTTAAATGAGATATAAGTGTTTGACAATGATGACTGATTATGGTTAGTGCTCAAAACACAGCAGTCATCACATTCATTCTGTCAGAGTTTTTTGTTTTCGTTTTGCTGTGCTTTGCAGTGCTTTGGATTAAACCCAGGACCTCAAGCAGGTAAGGCAAGTGCTGTGTCACTGAGCTATATCCTTGGCAGCATATTTATTTGGAAAAATAAAACAAAGTCATAATTAAGATAATCAAGTATTTTATGAAGCTCAAAAAATATGGGAGCTGAGGCAACTTAGTGCCTTAGCAAGACTTTGTCTCAAAAAGTAAAAAGGGGAATGAGGGTATAGCTCAGTTCAACAGCCCTGGGTTCAATGCTCAGTACCATTAAAAAAGAAAGAAAGGAAAAAAAAAAGCAAACTTGTTTTCTGCAGTGACATCCACTGTGACTCAGATTCCAAAGATTTCCAAAATTAGAGCATTTGTTAAGTTCTGGGTATCATGCTAAGCAGTAACACTGCATAAAACACATTCCTGTCCCTGTCCTCCAGAGACTCACAGTCTTGT